GTTCAACTGTATAAGGAATTCTGTACCACCAGCATGGAGAGTATGGGATTTATTCACTTATTTAACAATGTTTATTGAACAATATTTATTGAACATCTACTACGGGCTCACTCTGTTCCACGTGCTGGAAATATAGCAATAAACAAAATAGAAAAAAATTTCTGCCCTTGTACAATATACATTGGAGGAGGGCAAACAAACAATAAATAAGTAAATTGTATAGTGTATTAGATGGTGATGAGGAAAAAAATAGAGCAGGGGATGCCAATTGGGGTGGGAGGAGGTTTGCAATTTTAATAGGGTAATAAGGGAAGGCATCAGTGAGAAAGTGACATTTGTTCAAAGAATTAAAGGAGGCTAGGGAATGAGCCATGTGTGGGAAGAGGCTTCAGGCAGAAGACAGGCCATACAAAGGCCCTGAGACAGAACCACACTTTGGCATATTTGAAAACAAGAAGCCAGTGTGTTGGGAAAGAAATGAGCTGAGGGAGAGTGGTAGGAGGTGAAGTTTAGGAGATAACAGAACGGGGAGCTCAGCCAGCCATCAGGTGATGCAATGGGAGAGGGTCAGGTGGCATGGGATTAGAAACAAAGGGGTTTGAACAGTGACAGGCATGGTATCAACCAGCACTTGTAGAGGGCTTTAATATTGGCAAAGTTCTTTATTATACAGTCTTTGTTCAAATTGTGCGTATTCTCTCTGAGCATTGTAGGGTTAGACAGTTTCACATGGACTCTCTTTACCTATAAAACACCCCATTTTATAGGCAAAGGCAATGGGGACCTGGCTGAGTGAGAGGTCTGCTCCTGACCACATCCCAAGATCATCAGAGTCGGCACGTGAAAGTAGGCCCACCTCGACAAGAGCACACAGTGGAGTAAGACAGCCTCTTCGTCGGGAAAATTGGACAGCTACATGCAAAAAGTGAAGCTAGACCACTAGCTTACACTATACACAAGAATAAACTCAAAATGGATAAAAGAGTTAAATGTGACCCGTGAATCCATAAAAATCCTAGAAGAAAATGTAGGCAACAAAATTTCAGACATCACACGCAGCATAATTTTCACTGATACATCACCTAAGGCAACAGAAACAAAGGAAAAAAATGAACACATGGGTCTACATCAAACTCAAAAGTTTCTGCACAGCAAAAGAAACAACCATCAAAATGGAAAGGCAACCCACTCTATGGGAGAGCATAATTGCCAACAATATATCAGCTAATTTGGCTAATTTCCAAAATATATAGAGTACTCATACAACTTAACAAAAGGAAGACAAAGAACCCAATTAAAAAATGGGCAGAGGACCTAAATAGACACCTCTCCAAACAGGACATAGAAATGGCCAAGAGGCATATGAAAAAATGCTCAACGTCACTAATCATCAGAGAGATGCAAATTAAAACAACTATGAGGTATCACCTCACACCTGCCAGAAGGCTGCCATCAACAAATCATCAAACAACAGGTGTTGGCGAGGGTGTGGAGAAAAGGGGACTCTAGTCCACTGCTGGTGGGAATGCAGACTGGTGCAGCCACTATGGAAAACACTATGGTGTTACCTCAAAAAATTAAAATTGAACTTCCATTTGACCCAGTGATTCCTCTTCTAGGAATATACCCTAAGAAGCCTGAAACACCAACCAGAAAGAATGTATGCACCCCCATGTTTGTAGCAGCACTATTTACAATCACTAAGATCTGGTCCATCAATAGATGAGTGGATAAAAAAGCAGTGGTACATATACACAATGGAATTTTATGCAGCTGTAAGAAAGAAAGATCTCTTATCCTTTGAGACGACATAGAAGGACCTAGAGAATATTATCCTAAGCAAAACAAGCCAATCAGAGAAAGACAAATACCACATGATCTCACTTATTTGTTGAATATAATGAATAAAACAAACTGAGGAACAAAATAGATCCAGAGACATGGAAGTGGGGTACAGACTGACAAATCTCAGAAGAGGTGGATGTGGGGGGAGGGAAGAGATAAACCACAGAACTTACATGCATGTGTGCGTAAACAAGGACATGGACAATAATGTTGGGGGGGGGTGTTAAGGAGGAGGGTGTCAATGGGGAGAAAAAGAGAAACATCTGTAACAAAAATAAATAAAATGGGGGAAAAAAAAAGAAAAACTGAAAGAAAACAAAAAAAGAAAGTAGGCCAACCTCCTCAAATCCTACCTCTCCAACTCCTCTTCCCCATGCTGCCCATCAAAATAAAATAGCCACTACTAGCTACATATTATTTCTCTGAGTCTAATTGCAAAAAAATGTTTGTTCTATAACAAGCACGTATTCAAATCACCAATATCTGTTGACTGTATTATGATAGACTTTGCAGAGATAGGCAGAGTATTGTAAGATAAGGACACAAGGTTGGGCTGTAATCATGATTTTTTTTAACTTTGGGTCAGTTGTGAAGTCAGAATTAAAAAAACATTAAATAGAATAGAGAATATCAGAATTCATTTCACAGAGAAGGTTAGGTGTGGTTTTGTGAAACTTGTTATAGAGATCTAGTTATTTGTGTGTGTCAGTATCTATCTATTTACCTACAGAAAAAGATATGAATGGGATTACATACATTCCTGATGTAAAATGTTTTTCTTGCTTTGTGTCACCATCAGAATTTAGAAGCTGCTTGACTGAATGTAGCTGCCATCTTTGTGTTTTGGTAAATGTTTAATAAATCTTTCCTTGAATGAATGTATGGTTTTCAGTAGGTGCTAGGGAAAAGAGCAAAGGACCAAGACTGGAGAGATAGATGTAAAAGAATCTATTTTAAAAGCAAAGAAAAAAGAAAAACACCATTAAATGGTCTCATTCAGTTCCAGACTTTTAGCATCCAGCTCTCTGCACACAATCATTAAACCTGGCTGGATCGAGTTCCTTGTTTTTTTTTTTATCCTCACCCAAGGACATTTTTCCATTTTTTATTCAGACAAAGTGGGAGGGAGAGAGAGGAAGAGAGAGAGAGAGAGAAACATCGACGTGAAAGGGACGCATCGAATGGTTGCCACCCACACAACCCAACCAGGGCCGGGGACAAACTGCAACCGAGGTACACGCTCTTCGCGGGAAGCGAACCCGGGTCTCTCTGGACCGCAGGCTGACGCTCTAACCGCTGAGCCAAACTGGCCAGGGCTGGATCGAGTTCCTTTAACATCACAACCTTGCTTTATGATCCATTGTACCTCAAGCATGTAAGAAGTTACCAATCTATATTTATTTAATAAGTAGATTAAATTTATATTTTCTAGGGTCTCACTTTTAGGTAATATCCCAATTAAATTCTGAGATTTTTTAAAGACTTAAAATATTGCCCCTTCCAAGAATGACTACAATTTAATAGAAAATGTCTTAAGATCAAAAGGCTCCAAATTGAATTCTCTAGTCTTCAGTGGGGAATGTCAGGTAACTCGGGAAATAATGAGAGAAGGATTGGGTGCACTTGTCGGCCTCTGTAACTCCTCAGTCATACCACCCTGAAGCCAGGGCTAGGCATGCTCACTTCTTTGACCCGTGAATCTGACATACCAGTTTGATCCTTCGTCTGTGCAATCGGTCAATGAGCGGACACTGAGCACCTCCTTGGTGCCAGCTTGACTTGGCACATGCACACCTTCCTAGTGAACTGGGAAGTTTGTGAAGTTCATCACCCTACTTCTTGAATTATTATTAGGTCCAACAGTGGAAAGAAAAAGGAGAGAGAACTAAGATTTGAGGCTTGCTAATCTGGGTCATGTTGACACATGTCAGCATAGTTATTTTACATTGTTTTCCATTTTAAAATTATTTTTCATGCCCTAGCCAGTTTGGCTTAGCGGTTGAGCGTAGGCCTGTGGACCAGAGAGTCCCGGGTTCGGTTCCTGCTAGGGGCATGTACCACAACAAACAAACAAACAAACAAAGTGTTGCCCTGGCTGGTTTGGCTTAGTGGTTTGAGTGTTGGCCTGTGGTCCAGAGAGACTGGGTTCGGTTCCCACTAAGGGCACGTACCTCGGTTGCAGTTTGTCCCCGGCCCTGGTTGGGTCATGCGGGTGGCAACCACTCGATGTGTCCCTTTCACGTCGATGTTTCTCTCTTTCTCTCTCCCTCTCTCTCCCCCTCCTTCCCACTGTATCTGAACAAAAAGTGGAAGGATGTCCTTGGGTGAGGATAAAAAATAAATAAATAAATAAAATAAAATTATTTTTCATGGTTGATATATATATTTTTTTTATCCTCACCTGAGGACATTTTTCTATTTTTTGTTCAGGTAGAGTGGGAGGGAGAGAGAGGAACAGAGAGAGAGAGAGAAACATCGATATGAAAGGAACACATCGAGTGGCTGCCACCCACACGACCGACCGGGGCCGGGGACAAACTGCAACCGAGGTACATGCCCTTAACGGCAACCGAACCCGGGTCTCTCCGGACCGCAGGCCGACGCTCTAACCGCTGAGCCAAACCGGCCAGGGCCATGGTTGATATTTTTATTGAATTTATTTGGGTGACATTAATAAAATTATATAGGTTTTAGGTGTTCAATTCTATGATACATCATCTGTATGTTGTATTGTGTGTTCGCCGCCCAAAGTCAAGTCTCCTTCCCTCACCATTTATCCCCCTTTACCCTCTTCCACCTCTCCCATCCTCCTGACACGTATTTCTCCAATTACAATTTCAAAAGAGATTTCAATTTCTCAGAATATCAAGGTGAGGAGATTAAAATAAATAACTTTTAAAGAATTTCTTGAACAGTATTTCTGTTATAGTATACGTAATATACAGTACACATCATAAAATGATTTTTAAGAAAAATTGTGTATTTAAAATGCAACTAATAGAAATTATGTTCTAAAGTAAAATTTAATTTTCTGTAGAATTCTGGCTTTTTCAAACTATTGAAAAACTTTAAAAGGACACATGATTCTGTTTCTCCCCCCTCCCCCACCCCGTTCTTGTTTTCTCTTGATCTATGTAGTAAAATGTTTTCCTAGCAAAGCTCTGTTCCAAATGGGGCGAGCAATCCAGACACTCCATCCTGTGAACCAAAGCTTGTAAGAAAAGACTGGGAAGAAAGCAATAACTCCAGAGAAAACACTGAGAGCCCCCAAAGTAATGAGAATCCGGCCAGCAGCCTGGTACAGACCTTGCATTTTTCTCTGTGACTTGGGTCCTTGGTCTCAAATATGTCCTGTTACCAAAACATGAGGGTATGTCAGGCTTCAACAAACAGAAGTTTCTTAGAGACAGTAGCCATGACACATGTGGATTGTTGATCTACTTGGAAACAAGATTCTAATTTGTTTGACCTATGATAATAAAATGTAATGAAATAATCCTTGTCATAGATTTGACACAATACATTCTCATACTAGTTTACGAGAGAAAGAGAGAGAGAGAGAGAGAGAAGAATCAGTCCTCGTTTTGGGTTACTGCCTTCATTCCCTTCATTCTGCCTTGTCTCTGGGAGTGACCACTTCCTGGCTTAATCAGATTCAAAGCCTTGCTGACTGAGCTAATTGTTCCTCAGCTCAACCTGCCCGGTGGTTCCAGCGTTAAGCCAACATCCTTTGTGCACAATAGATCCACATTCCCAGCACAATTTCCCACAAAACAAAGAAAAATAAGCTCTCTGATCACTTTTCATTCCATTTAATTTAAATGATTTAAAGTAAAAAAGTAAGACCTTTCCCCGCTTCTAAGTTCAATTCTATTACAATTATTTTTTATTTTTCAGTAACATTTTTTTTTTTTTTTTCTAAACAGGCATATACTTCATTCTGGAGTTCTGCATTGTTTTCACTAAACTGGCTTCACTTCAATTGTCTTATTAGTAATCCAATTATCAAGTAAAGTGCAAAGATAGAAATGTATGCAGTTGTAAAATAAACTTTGAGGTGTCATTTATCGGTTGAATAAAATACAGATCTCCATTTATCCTTGAATTGTAATTCAAATTTTAGAAGTCGGGCTTATGTACATTTAAGCAATTGCAAAATGAATCTCTTACCTTTGAGAGAGTGGTGCACATGTGATTTTGGCTGATAGAACACGCTTGACTGTCTCTTCCAATATCATATCTTGAAAACACAGACTTCATTCTGAAACTATCAGAATAATTTTCCTATTCAATATTAATATCTTTTTTCTTAAGTAAAATGATGAAAAATAATTTTTATGGATGGAAACGCAGTGGTTCAGAATATGGATTTCGGCCTCAGACAGAGCTGGGGTCCTGTTTTTGTTCCACTATTTACAAGGTATGTGTCCTTGGGCAAGGTCAGGTTATTTAACTTTCTAGGCCTCTTTCATCATATGGGAAATGGGAATAAATTAGTGCTTATCTCACCAGATGGTGACTGAGGGAATAAAACGAAACAATATTTGTAAAACGATCAGCACTGAGCTACACAGAGCAAATATGCTCAGTTAGTTACCTGTTCTTATGTTGGGACATTTTGTCTTTGGAGGTTTCAGTACGGGATAGAGGAACATTATTGCTTTTATCCATCACCTAATAAGCATTAGGTTTGACTCTTCCTGATCAATTTGGTCAAAGCTCCCAAGGATCCTCCCATGTAGGGTGAGGAGAGAAGCTTTTCTCTGACTCTGCTTTTTTCTTCTCTTTTTGTCATCAATAGCAAGTCCACAGTGTGACCCAGATTTTGAAGCAGTTGCATCCCTAGATGTACAGAATCCAGGAAACCAGCTCAGGCTTTCTGCCATAGCTGTTATTTCCCATCTTCTCTCAACACTGTGGGAGTCTATTCCATGTTTTTTCCCTTCCACTAATGCCTCTAGATAAATTTCACAAGGGCAGTTGCTTGCAAGTTTTATACATCTGCTCGATTGGCAATTTTCAACCTTTTTCTTCTCATGGCACACATAAACTAATTACTAAAACTCGGCGGCACACCAAAAAAAGGTATTATGTTCTTTCGCTGATTTGATTTAAAAAAAATAGGTATAATTTTTATTCATTCACACTGGTTGGCTATTGTTGTGTTGGCTGTTGTCTCTTTTTATTTTATTTTTAAATATGCTTTTTTATTGACTTTTTTTTTTAGAGAGAGAGGGAGACAGAGAGAGATAGAAACATCAATGTGAGAGAGGCACATAGGATGGCCACCTCCTGCACGCCCCCTACTGGGGATCGAGCCCACAACCTGTGCATGTGCCCTGACCGGGAATGGAACTAGGACCTCTCAGTCCATGGGATGACGCTCAAACCACTGAACTACGCCAGCCGGGCATTGTTGTCTCTTTTCAATTTGACAGTCTAAGGGAAAAGAAGTCAGTGCCCCAGACCGAATAGTCAAGTATTGCATGTTTTAAAAGTCTTGTGGCACATCAGTGTGCCTGTCATGGCACCCAGGTTGAAAATCACTGCCCTAGATGTATAAAACGTCCCCAACACCTAGAATCATGTCTGGCCCGGAGCAGTACACATTTGTTGAGTTAGTTAATTCATACATCAGATGTTCTGGCTATGCTTTTGGGCCCAGTGGGTCTGCCAAGTGTGAATCTGTCTTTGTGTGTCCTCTGCTGCCGGGGTGTGCGGATGTTTGTATGTGTGTTCCCTTGTTACAGAGGGAAGGGTCTGCACTAAAGAGAGACTCGTTTGTGTCAGTATTTGGTTTGAGCTGTTTTGACTTTTCCTTTACTTTTATCTCAAGGTTATAACTACATAGTATGTCAATATAGCGTGGGTCAGATCACCCTCTCCTGTTGGCATGTTTGGAAAATAAAGACTGTTGAAATACTTATGTTAAACAGTACAAAGAGGGTAAACAAAGAGAATATTTTTGTTTTAATTTGGGGGCGCTCCTTTAGTGTCTGCAGCACTGATAGGCTAACCCTGACATTGCCAGAGTGACGTATAAACCTGAATTTATCAGAGACTAGAAGGGTTGTTGCCATTGAATATCACAAAAAGAAGGGACAAGGAGGACTAGGGATTGCTCTCTCTGTTTTCCCAGCTGCACCTTTCTGCAGGAAACGGTCCACATGAATTTCCCTAAAGCAGGGAGCATTTCAGGGAGGGCGGCTTCTGGGAAGGAGACACAGTGTAGTTCTACGCCAGGCTGGGGCTTCCTCTCACATCTCTGTTCTTAGTGTCCAGCAGCCAGCCAGGTTAACAGCCCCCCCCCCCACCCCCCAGGGCCCTACCTCCTGTTCGGCACTAATTTCCTGGAAGGTGGGAGGTGGAAGTGGTGGAGTCAGGGCTCTGTAGGCTGCTTTGCAGACCCCACTTTCCCCCTTACCCATGGGCTTCCACGACCTTGGCTCAGGGAAGAATGGGAGAAGTTCCACCAAACTCTTCAATCAGCTCCGCCATACACACAAAACAGCTCCCCTCCCCCAACAAACTAACATTTGATTCTAATACTCACCCATCCATCCCCTGAAAAAAAAATTCACCTGGTCCCCCAAAGAGGTGGGATAATGTCAGTGATACTGAGGGAGAGAAGCTGATTTGGACGTGTGAACCCCAGAAATGACAACTCTAGATGTGCTATAGTCTTGGATTTTTTAAAAAAAATTAGGTTTCAAAGCTACAGAATGGGTCCATTTTTTTTTGGCCAAGATAAAAAATAAATAAATAAAGCTCTACACAAGAAATACAATTACGGTGCATTGTTTTCCCAGCAGCTTCGGGTGGCTAACTTCATTTGTCCACACATCAGAGAGATAGCACCTGTAGTAGAAAGAGCGTGAGCTTTGGCATCAGAAAGACCTGGATTTGATATTGAGTATTACATCTGAAATATAGAAAAAAAAAAGGAAAAAAAATTGAAAATCAATAATTAATTCAAACACAAGAGAAAAGGATGCCTTCACAATGGAAAATATGGCACTCACCACCTTAGCCAAGTGATCAAACTTTGCATCACCAATACCAGGATGAACTGACACCATTGCCTTGTGATACGTTGCCATGGAAGTACACGCCATCACCTGGGTAGTGTTTTTGGCAAAAATGTTTAGCCTGAATCTAATCTGCACCCACTGCTCCCCAAGTCGGACAAATTCAGATTACAGGAACATTTTACAAAGCACTAGTCTGGACTAGTCAAAATTCTCCATGTCATAAAAGACAATAAAAAAGTTACTGGCACAACTGGGAAAATTTTTTTTTTTGGGGGGAAGAGAGAAAGAGAAATATCCATGTGAAAGGGACATATCGACTGGTTGCCACCCACACGGCCTCAGTAGGGGCCGGGGACAAACTGCAACCGAGGTACGTGCCCTTAGCGGGAACTGAACCCAGAACTCTCTGGTCCATGGGGCCGACGCACTAACCGCTGAGCCAATAGGCCAGGGCACAACTGGGAAAATTTAAATGTGGCATTTATATTGGATAATACTAGTGTACCAGTGTCCATTACCTTGAGAGTATGAATGCCACTGTAGTTACATAAGAGAATGTCCTATTGGTGAAAGTAGGTAAGTTCGTGTTCTTTATGCTTTCCTTCAACCTTTCTGTAGGTTTGAAAATGTCAAATACAAAAGTGGAGAACAAAAGGAGAAGAAAAGGTACAGCTTTATTACCTGATAAAAGCGAACGGCCTCACGTTCCTCAGGCATACAGCCCTGTGCTCAAGAATCCTTGAGAAGATGAACGCCTGTGGGTCGCAGTGTAAGGCACGTGCGGCGAAAGCTGCTCTGCTCTGCTCTCCTTCAGCACTAGGCAGAAACCGTCTTTTCAGAATAGGAACGATGGAGCAGGTGTGTTAGGTTATACTGTGCAGATATACCACTTACGCAGACACACAATTTTTTTTTTGCCTTTCCAAATATTCCAGTTCCTTAACTGGATGAAAAGCCTTTCCAGTGCTCATCCATGATGCACATTTCCCCAAGCTTTTTACTGGCTGTTGGACTTCAACTTGGGGTGAACCCTCTCTTCTCACAATGGCTTGGGGTTTATGGAGAGCACAGTTCAATTTTTATCCTCCCTAACTGGGAATTGTCAAATTTAAAGCCCTCCAATCTGTAAGATGTTTGCGCCTAAGTAGAGATTAGTGCATCGACTTGGATTTACCTAATTCAGATTTTATCTGCCTTTTGTATATCTGACCCTCAGATGTGTTTTGAAATCGTCTGGAATGCATCAGAATTTTCTCATGTTTTTGCAAAGCAAAACAACTCG